CTGGAGAAGCTCTCTACAGCCATGTATCTTTCATTTTTTTTGGTTTTCTCTAGTACAGTAGTCACCAACATGACCAATCTTGACTTTTGGGATTCTATTGTGTCTACAAATTTAGTTTTGTTGGAAGACATACTGGGAAGTATCTAGGTCTTTAACTGCATGGAACCATCAAAGGAATATACCCCGTTTCTTGAAAAGTTTGCCTTGATGCTTTTTTCAAAATGCAAAAATTCATACAGTATTCCAATACACCAAAGACAATTTAAGCAAATTTGGCCTTAAAACTTTCTCAATTCCCAAGTTACGCACATGTTATACACATGACCAAGACACAGGAACTACCAACATTATAAATTACCCAGAGTTCTTTATGATTTTTTTTTTTAAATCTTTTATTGGCTCATTATTTTGGACCTTATTAAATTCTTAGGGAGTCTACAGTACCGGTATTTGTTTTTCAAAAGTATTTTTTACAATGTGTGATAAGAATGTCAAAATGACCTCCAATGAAAAACAATTTATAGAGATGCTAAAAATGCTGCCATTCTTTGGAAAATATAATCACCTGGAAGCCAATATGCACATTACTTTGTATCAGCCATTCAAGCAGTCAACCAGGTTCTTAGTCATCTAAGAATTTTATACTGTAAAATACTTTATTTTTGCTGAAGGGATGGATTTGGTTTACCATTAACAAAAAAAATACTAGTACCGCTAAAATTATAAACCGTGGTTTATATTACAATGTATCAAATAAAAAATTGGGATAAACAGCTTCAGTTCGGGGCACGGTTTATATTAGGTACATATTGCAATCACTAAATGGGCGTGGTCATTTTTTCCCCACATCACTTGCACAAAACAAACAATACACCGTACAATCTTTTGAATATAAGCTAACTCCAATTTAGATGTCAGGGAAGAGTGATAAGCGTCACGTCACAAAAAACTGTTCACATGAAAAAAAATACTTGGTATATTTAATGTAATATGCATTTATTTGTTTAATTTTCTTCATAACGGAAAGTATATTCTGACAGCAGTTTCAAATAAAAAAAATGATTAATGCATTGCTTAGTAAAAAATGATCATTGTAAGGCACTAAAAAAGTACGGTACCGTGGGTATGCTAACGCAATCCGGCCATGCTTCGGCTCACAAGTGAATAACTTACTTGTTTTCGAACTGTTGAAATTGTTGATTATTACTCAGTAGCGATTATAATAACGCACGAAAAATAAATTCGTTGAATTGGTCGATGCGACACGACTTCCGCTATGTAGTTTAAATGCACACGGGACATTACTTGACCGGGTAGGTCAAGTCGCTAATTAACCAATCGAAATGCTGGATGGTGCCCACGTGTTCAAATTACCTTAGTTCATTTAAATATGTTAATGACAGGTCACCGACTTCATGGTGAACGAAACCCGGAAGAGATTTACCGATAATGTAGTGCGATCTTTTGGCTTTGATTTCCATGGGAAAACGACATGACTTATTTTTTTAAATCAAAAAATTAGTTGAACAGCTCATTGTCGAAAACTTGCGACAAACGGACGTATTCATAAGGAGTATTGATAACAGTTGTCACAAGACAAAAGCAGTTTCACTGCGTGTTTGACATTCTAACACTACTGAACAATAAAGAGGTGTGAATATTTTTAGGCACGTTGTCGAAACAAATGAATAGGATTAGGAACAACGTACCAGCTGGTTGAAACAAAGTCAATCACGGTCTTGTTGAATTGGGGGTGCGGTTAGTAATAGGTACTTTTCATGTTTTCAATTTTTGTTGAGAACTCTATTCTCGGGGGCGGAGCTACGTCACAAGACGTTCCAACGTTGCTACGACGCGCACCACTGTACATGCATTTCTATGGGCTCTGTGCGCGCTGCTGTGGAACGCCGGTCGAGCCGGTGAAAATTCGAGAAAACAACACAAACTCAACTTTGAAGTAATCCCGAACAACCAAATTTATATATGTTACACATGTAAGGCTAATCTTGTTACACTGTTCAGAGGAGTCTCAACAATCATTCCAAAATACCGTTTTCTGCGAGTTTTGGGCCTTTGTTTTCACCGCCTCCGGTTGCCAGGCGGTGAAAATGCCCGGATGTCCGCCCCCGAGGATAACACTGAAGCCGAAATCGGGGGTGCGGTTACTATTAGGTATGCGGTTTATAATAGGATTTTAACGGTACTCTAGCAAAACATCAAACTATTTAGCAATTTGGAGAAAAGAAAGAGAATCAAAGAAAGCTTAGAAAGAACTCCCATGTGCTGAGAGTTTTGGAGACACATTAAAAATTAATTCAAAATTACTTATACTTGAGATATTGATGGAATAGCTGAAAACTAATTATGCAAATAAGGTAACTAATATGAACAGATTTAAGTGTAAAACTAATAAGGTCTGCACAATGTACCAAGTTTCATTGAAATGT